GGTGAAACATTCTGGTACAGGACAAATGTGTAAAACAATGGATTGAGTGAACCAATGAAAACTGTGAAATAAATTCAACATAATAGAGGGCCAAAATCAAACATGTTCTGGAAACGCCAAGCAGAGGAGGTGGGTTTTTAGGCGGCTCTTGAAGACTGGCAGAGATGGGGACAGCCTAACTGAGGGTGGCAACTGGTTCCAGAGTAACGGTGCTAGGACTGAGAAAGCCCGGTCCCCGCGAGTACGACACCTAGAATGAGGGACAACGAGCAGGCCTTGGTCAGAGGAGCGCAGAGCGCGTGATGGGGAGTGTCTGTTCAGGAGTGTGGCCAGATAGGGGGGAGCACCACCCTGGAAGAAATGATAAACAAAGACGAGGTTTTTGAATTGTGAGCGATAGCAAACCGGAAGCCAGTGCAGAGAGGCCAGAACCGGACTGATGTGGTCCCGTTTCCTGGTCCCAGTCAGGAACCTGGCTGCGCTCTTCTGCACAACCTGTAGGCGATGCAGTGATGACTGACACAACCCTGCATATAGAGAGTTGCAGTAATCAAGCCTAGAAATTACAAAGGCATGCAGTACCCGCTCCAGGTGGGCTCTCGACAGCATATGCTTGATTTTTGCAAGGCGTCTCAGGTGAAAGAAACTGGACTGGATCACAGAATTGATGTGAGCATCAAATTTAAGTCCAGCATCAAGTTTCACCCCCAAACTGGTAACAACTGGTTTTGAGTATGGAGAAAGAGGGCCAAGATCAGCATAACGATCCACATTCCTGCTGTTGGGGTGAAAAACAATGAGCTCTGTCTTTCCCTCATTCAGATGTAGATAGTTGGACATTAGCCAAGACTTCACCTCATTAAGACAGGACACAAGGACTAATGCGACAAAGAACGGTTCGAAGGATCTTTCATGGTGGTGAAAACGAAGAGTCGGAGTACCCGGCCCGGAGGGTTACCGGGGTCCCACCCTGGAGCCAGGCCTGGGGTTGGGGCCCGTGAGCGAGCGCCTGGTGGCCGGGCTTTCGCCCATGGGGCCCGGCCGGGCCCAGCCCGAACCGGATACATGGGCTCGTCCAACTGTGGACCCACCACCCGCAGGAGGAACATGAAGGGTCCGGTGCAATGTGAATCGGGTGGCAGACCAAGGCGGGAGCCTTGGCGGTCCAATCCCCGGACAAGGAAACTAGTTTTTGGGACATGGAACGTCACCTCGCTGGCGGGGAAGGAGCCGGAGCTTGTGGCAGAGGTTGAGCGGTACCGGCTAGATATAGTCGGACTCACCTCGACACATTGCATTGGCTCTGGAACCCGAGACCTGGAGAGGGGTTGGACACTCTACTTTGCTGGAGTTGCTCCGGGTGAGAGGCGGAGGGCTGGGGTTGGCTTTTTGTTAGCCCCGAGACTCTCTGCCTGTGTGTTGGGGTTTACCCCGGGGGACAAGAGGGTAGCTTCCTTGCGCCTTCGGGTCGGGGAACGGGTCCTGACTGTTGTTTGTGCTTATGGGCCAAATATCAGTTCAGAGTACCCACCCTTTTTGGAGTCCCTGGGACGAGTGCTAGATAGTGCTCCATCAGGGGACTCCATTGTCCTGCTGGGGGACTTCAATGCTCACGTGGGCAATGACAGCTTGACCTGGAGGGGTGTGATTGGGAGGAACGGCCCACCTGATCAGAACTCGAGCGGTGTTTTGTTATTGGACTTCTGTGCAAGCCGCAGTTTGGCCATAACGAACACCATGTTCGAACATAAGGATGCCCACCGGTACACTTGGTACCAGGGCAGCCTAGGTCACAGGTCGATGATAGATTTTGTAGTCGTATCATCTGACCTGCGACCGTATGTTTTGGACACCCGAGTGAAGAGAGGGGCGGAGCTGTCAACTGATCACCACCTGGTGGTGAGTTGGATCAGATGGCAAGGGAACATGCCGCGTAGACCTGGCAGACCCAAACGCATAGTGAGGGTCTGCTGGGAACGCCTGGCAGAAGAACCTGTCAAGACGGTCTTCAACTCCCACCTCCGGCAGAGCTTTGACCACGTCCCGAGAGCAGTGGGGGACATTGAGTCCGAGTGGGCCTTGTTCCACTCTGCGATTGTCGAGGCGGCTGTTGCTAGCTGTGGTCGTAAGGTGGCCGGTGCCAGTCGTGGTGGCAACCCCCGTACCCGCTGGTGGACACCAGAGGTTCGGGGAGCCGTCAGGCTGAAGAAGGAGGCCTACAGGGCGTGGCTGGTCTGTGGGTCTCCGGAGGCAGCAGACAGGTACCGGATAGCCAAGCGGGGTGCAGCAGTGGCAGTTGCCGAGGCAAAATCTCGGGCGTGGGAGGAGTTTGGTGAGGCCATGGAGAAAGACTATCGATCGGCTCCAAAGAGGTTCTGGCAAACTGTCCGGCGCCTCAGGAGAGGAAGGCAGCAACTCGCTCACACTGTTTACAGTGGGGATGGGGAGCTGCTGACGTCAACTGAGGCTATAGTCGGACGGTGGAAGGAATACTTTGAGGAGCTCCTCAATCCCACCAATGCGCATTCCGAGGAGGAACCAGAGCTGGGAGGCCTGGGGATGGACTGTCCGATCTCGGGGGCAGAAGTTGCTGAGGTAGTCAAACAACTACACAGCGGCGGAGCCCCGGGGGCGGATGAGGTTCGTCCTGGGTATCTTAAGGCTATGGATGTTGTAGGGCTGTCATGGTTGACACGTCTCTACAACATTGCGTGGTCATCGGGGGCAGTTCCTAGGGAGTGGCAGACCGGGGTGGTGGTCCCCATCTTTAAGAAGGGTGACCTGAGGGTGTGTTCCAACTATAGGGGGATCACACTCCTCAGCCTCCCTGGAAAGGTCTACTCCAAGGTACTGGAGAGGAGGGTCCGATCGATAGTTGAATCTCAGATAGAGGAGGAGCAATGTGGTTTTCGTCCTGGCCGTGGAACTGTGGACCAGCTCTATACCCTTGCAAGGGTGATGGAGGGGGCATGGGAGTTTGCCCAACCAATCCACATGTGCTTTGTGGATTTGGAGAAGGCTTATGACCGTGTCCCCAGGGGCACCCTGTGGGGGACGCTCCAGGAGTATGGGGTGGGTGGCTTTCTGTTAAGGGCCATTCAGTCCCTTTACCAGAGGAGCGTGAGTTTGGTCCGCATAGCCGGTAGTAAGTCGGACCTGTTCCCAGTGAGGGTTGGACTCCGCCAGGGCTGCCCTTTGTCACCGGTTCTGTTCATCACTTTTATGGACAGAATTTCTAGACGCAGCCGTGGTGTGGAGTGTGTCGAGTTTGGTGGCAGGAGAATCTCGTCTCTGCTTTTTGCGGATGATGTGGTCCTCCTAGCTTCATCCAGCTCTGACCTTCAGCTCTTGCTGGGTAGGTTCGCGGCCGAATGTGAAGCGGCTGGGATGAGGATCAGCACCTCCAAATCTGAGACCATGGTTCTCGACCGGAAAAGGGTGGCTTGCCACCTCCGGGTCGGGGGAGAGGTCCTACCTCAAGTGGAGGAGTTTAAGTATCTCGGGGTCTTGTTCACGAGTGAGGGTAGGAGGGATCGGGAGATCGACAGGCGGATTGGTTCGGCGTCTGCAGTGATGCGGACGCTGACCCGATCTGTCGTGGGGAAGAGGGAGCTGAGCCAGAAAGCCAGGCTCTCGATTTACCGGTCGATCTACGTCCCAATCCTCACCTATGGTCATGAGCTTTGGGTAATGACCGAAAGAACGAGATCGCGGATACAAGCGGCCGAAATGAGTTTCCTCCGTAGGGTGGCCGGGCTCAGCCTTAGAGATAGGGTGAGGAGCTCGGACATTCGGGAGGGACTCGGAGTAGAACCGCTGCTCCTCCGGATCGAAAGGAGCCAGTTGAGGTGGTTTGGGCATCTGGTCAGGATGCCTCCTGGACGCCTCCCTGGGGAGGTGTTTCGGGCATGTCCTGCCGGCAGAAGGCCCCCGGGTCGACCCAGGACACGTTGGAGAAGTTACATCTACAATCTGGTCCGGGAACGCCTTGGGGTCCTGCCGGAGGAGCTGGTGGACAAGGCCGGGGAGAGGACGGCCTGGAGCTCCCTAGTTGGGATGCTGCCCCCGCGACCCGGACCCGGATAAGCGGAGGAAGACGAGACGAGACAAGGACTAATGCAATTAATGCCACAGCAAGTCATTTTGTCCAACAATTGCACAAATAATATCCAAAACAGAATACACAAACACAGAGACTCAAAATCCCGGAACAGTTTCCAAGCCAGACCAAGGCTCTACTGAGGCCTTTCCACGGAGCTAGCTCTGTGGTCACGTGGGTCTGATGCTCATTAATTATACAGAATTTTAGGCTTTTAATACACTTAAACAGAAGAGTGAGAGAAAAAATCCACCCCCCTCAGAGTTGTCATGAGTGTAAACTAGATCATTTAAACCAAAAACATGTTTTGGTACCAGGCTGTAAACATGTTTATTTCTGCTGTGAAATTGGTATTTTTAACATGGGAGTCAATGAGGATTTGCTCGCTTCTGACACCAGCCCCTAGTGGATGAGGGTGGAACTGCAATTTTTGGTACTTCCGGGTTGAGACCAATTTCTGAGCCGCATTGAGGGGGCTTGGTTTGTACGTGAGTGCGGAAAGTTGTAATTATGCGCGTCTCCTGCCAGGGCGGGTGTCTGAATTCCCCACCACTTACAGCTGCTGTTAGCTAGCAGGCTAATGTAGAGCTAACATGTTGCTTCAGCTTGGACATGTTTTAAAGCGGACAATGAAGTGAGAGCAGCAGTCCCTTTAAAGAGTAAATACTGGTCAATTCATGTGATGGAGAAGGTGGCGCTACAGTCAACAACACAGTTCTGATACGCAGCCTTAAATGCAAATGTCTTCTGTCTCTTTTGGCTTTCCCCTTCAGGCGCCACCAAATCACTGGTCTCCATTTACACAGACCTTCTGCACCTTGAATGTGGAAATCACTCAAACTAATGGTATCTTTTCCAATCTGTAACAAGAATGTTTTCCGTGTTCATCTCATCACTACAGGAGCCGTCTTGTATCGTATTCCACTGACCTGGGGTCAGAATAAACTCCCATGGAAGCTCCTTCATGCAGCAATGATGCTTCTCTCCTTGATCCTGGCAGTTGTGGGACTTTGTGCTGTGTTTGACGTCCACAACGCCCAGAAGACTGCCAACCTCTACTCGTTACACAGCTGGATTGGGATTTGCACTGCAGCTCTCTTTGCCATGCAGGTACGGGTTTAAGTTGAGAATGTTTTCACAGTGAGTCAGCTGCTTGATGTCTCTCCTTTCTGTGCAGTGGCTTTTAGGTTTTGCAGGCTTCCTGTTGCCCTGTTCCCCCGTAGCTCTTCGTCAGCTGCTGAAACCTGTGCATGTGTGGCTGGGAAGCAGCATCTTGATGCTTAGCGTGGCTGCCTGCATCTCTGGCATCAACGAGAAACTCTTCTTTGTCCTGTGAGAGTCGTATTTCTGAAGGACTTCTGAAGTCTTTTTTGGTCTAAGATGTAATGTTAATGGTTTCCTTTTTTTAACCCTACAGGAAAGCAGCTGTGAATGGAAGTCAGCCATACTCCAGCCTTCCAGCTGAGGCTGTGTTAGCTAACTCACTGGGAGCTCTGATTGTGGCCTTTGGCTTGGTGGTACTTATGATCCTGTCGAATGGCAAATGGCAGCGAGCAGACCCCGGGCCCGAAGACTTGACTTACACGGTGAGAAGAAGTGACGGAAGATCAGACTTTTTTACGTCTAACATTAATTCTCATGTATTGTTTCACAGTCGTTGCTTCAAGAAGAAAATGATGAGAGCTAAACTACAGATGAAACCACCTGGCTGGATCATGAAACAGCTGGATGCTTTATTTTGTTTTTTACAGTCAAAAAGAACGTTAATCAAAGCTGTCATATGTTTTTCATGTAGTGTATAAATGTGATGCACTACAGCTCTTTTACTCTGAAATGATTATTTGAGGTGATTTTATTAATTCTGATTAGAAATAAATAAGTGGCTCAGTGAAAGGCCGCCATCTGCTAATCATAAAGTTGGTTGTTTGATCCTGTCTTCCTCATGGTTAATAAAATGAGTCATCCCAAGGGCAGTGGCAGCTGGTGAATTGTTTTTTTTTTTTTTTTTTTTTTTTTGCTGGGGCGAGTGGTGTTGTGCTGAAAAGAGCATGCCAGCCGAGAGTGGCATGACCTGTTATTGAAATTTGCATATGAATAGTGAGGATTTGTAAAACTTTGTAGCATTAACATGTAGTTTATTCATTTGCTCCCTTACAAAATGATGGTTTATGGGCAGATAAATAAATTAAATGATGGTTTATTTGATAAAAATAGTATTTAATCATTTCATTATATTTCTAGTCTAAATCAAATAGTTTTCAGGAGAAACACGGATTAGAAAAGTGTTCACACTATCCACATTTCACCACCAGGGAACGCCAAATCACCATCTTATGCCCTGGCCCCTCTTGGACGGTGAACCATGAAGAATTTCCAGGTTCTGTCCTGACCCAGGACTCTGTCCTGCCGCTGTTATATCTCTATGAGTTCCCCCGTTGAGATCTATTACTTTTCCACCCAGCTGTGAGTTTGAACCACTCACATAAAATGCATGACCTAACCATCGACATCTACGCTGGACAGTTCGTCTCGATAGGCTACATGGGCTCGAATTGTACATTTTTGTGCCCATGGGAGGTCCCCGCCACCGCCATTTTAGACAGATATAAGGAACCACCTTTCGTCAAACTTTTTGACAGGTCTATTGTTCTTTGACCTTTATGCCCCCCCCCCAAAAAAAACCATCCTTCGTCAAAATTGACAGGTGTATGGTTTTATGACTTTTTGTGATAGGACCTTTAATGACCCTGTATGTCAAGAAATGAACTGATGAATGTTGACATGTTTGGGGAATGCTTTTAACCCAAGACATGCAGAATCACACACCCACAGATCTTATGGTAAAAAAAATAATTAATGGTAAAAAAAATCTTTATTTTAAAACGGGAACTGAAGGTGCACTGGAAAAGCCCAGTGGAGATCGAGAACGGGAGTGCAGCGTCTGAGGATGGGAGAGCAGATACAGTTGAGTCCAGGAAAATAAGTCTAAACTTGGTGGGTGCAGAGAATAGACTTACTGGGAGTAGGGGAGCGTAGGAATGAGGGAGGGTAGGTTGGGTGGCGGGGTGAATCCAAGTGGGGTGTCCAGGAGAGGGAACGAGAGGAGAGCAGGAGAGCGGGCTGGCCGGGAGGAATGGAGAACGGTGAGAGCTGCGTCTGGAAATCCTGTGGGGCACAGGTGAGTAATCCTGAGGAGTCGCAGAAAACCAGAGATGTAATCCAGAGAAGTCACAGAAGTCCAAAAATGTTCCAAAACCTGATAACGGGTAAGCACAGGGAAAAGATCCAAAGGTTCACAAAAATCCTAGAAACACTAGAGCACAAAATCCAAGAGGGCAGGAAACTACCAGGCTGTGGTAATCATCTGGCGTCGAGGAGTGTTCATCATTTTGTAGCCAAACCCGCTGATTGCAATTCAGCTGCAGCTGGAACCTCCCTCTCCTGAAACAATCAACTCAAAGATGGGAAAACGAGAGGAGTACTCACCCCGGCACATGACAACTGTTGTGTAATGACGCATGAAGTTATTGATTGTGGTCCCCTTTTGTCAAGTTGTATATTGATTATCTGCTTTCAGAGGGGGGAAGTAACGAATTACATTTACTTGCGTTACTGTAATTGAGTAGATTTTTTTGTGCATTTATACTTTTTAAGTAGTTTTTAAAATCTGTAATTTTACTTTTACTTAAGTATTGTTTTTTGTAAGTATTGTACTTCGCTACATTTTTTATCTTATCCGTTACCGAGTAAAAAAAACAACATTGCAAAATACTGTGTCGGCACGGTTCGCACTGGATTCAGACACAACCACAGAAAAGAGAGACGAGAGTATAAACATATACATATGTAGAAGCGTCTTAACACGCTCGACAGTGATCCAGCGCTTAATGAAGTGTCTATGTATATATATGTCTATACTGTAAGACCCAAACACGGAAGTGCTGCCGACGCTGAAGGTGCGCACCAGAAGAACTGAGTGCTTAAGTTACGAGAGTGTGTGTGTTACGGGGTACAAAGGAAAGGATAAGAAACACTAACTGACTATTCGGATGACTGGAGGATCACTTAAGAAGATCAAAGCTTGTGAGAAGGATTAATGAAGGGATGTCTGAGCGGTCAACAGGTGAGTTGAACTTCTTAGTGTGAAGCATGTGTTCAGTGACCTTACAGTGCAATGAATGGTGGGTAGGAGAAGAAAATAGGCGCTAATGGTACGAGAAAGACAGCCTGGCCTGCCAGACTCCTCCTGTTTAATTCACGTCATACACGGCGATGCTCAATTTCTCATAAACAACGAAGACAGCGGCGGAGTTCGCTGCGGCTCTTTCCTTTGTTCTAAATGACACAGATGTCTTTAAAACCACAAGTAGAAGCGCTAAAAGCATTTCTTCTAAAAAATAAAAGATGTTTGCGCCATTGTCAGATGCTATTTTTTTTACTACACCTAGAAATCTACCACGTTGTGTGGTACAGTCGGGATTTCCTTTTTTTCTGATTGGTCATTTTTGAGCTTCCTAGTCCCGCCCCTCAAGTGATCTTCCAGCTAAAAGAAAAACTCAGCAGACTGGAGACTGTCTCCAAGATGTGTCTGCCACTCTTCAGAGCCTTTCAGGATGGTGTCCAAAAGCACTTTGGTGAGATGATGGAAGACGCTGCTGCAATCCTTCTTCCAAAGTTCAAGACCACCTGGACTGAGAGGCACGATATCATTGAAGCAGGTAATTTTTTAATAATTTAATATCATACCTTAATCTGTTTTTCATTCATTTCAATCCTGTCAACATACTTAAAGTTCAATTATACGAGTCTGTCGACACAAATTACAGTACTTGTAAGGCATGTATTACTAAAACAATTCTTGTTGCATCTTCTATCAAAACTTAGTTGCCAGATATATTAAATATGTGTTATGTATTTGTCATTCAACAGGTTTGATCAACATGAGAAGACATCTTGACCAGATGGCAGAGGCTGGGGCGGAGCAAGTCAAGCAACAGTCATCACATCTTACCCTCATCTTTGTTTCAAAGTGCTTTTCAGTCCATCGGTCCCAGCGTGCTCTCTATAATTAATGCTTCTCTGGTCTCTGGTCAGGTCCCTGCTTACTTTAAGAACGCTGTAATCCACCCGCTTCTTAAAAAACCGAGTCTCGACCCCTCTCTCCATAGCAGCTTCAGACCCATCTCTAAACTTCTGTTCATCTCCAAGATCTTGGAAAAGGTTGTGGCTAAACGACTCACAGCTGCTCTTGATGAACATAACATCTATGATAGCTTCCAGTCAGGTTTTCGTAGAGCTCATTCTACTGAAACAGCTCTTCTTAGGGTCTCTAATGACCTTCTGACCCACAGTGATGCAGGGGACTGTTCTGTTCTGGTCCTGCTGGACCTGACTGCAGCCTTTGACACTGCTGACCATCACCTGCTACTGGAGAGGCTGAGAGACTGGGTAGGCCTATCAGGATCTGCCGGTGGGGGGGGGGGTTATTCAGGGAAAAGTCATGGGCTTGTGACTATAACCTAATTTATGTTACTAGTTTGCAGTGTAACTGCCTTTGTACTTCAATATGCATATTTGTTCATTTAATTAAAAAAACGGCCACTTTGACATTTATACCCCATTGTCTTTTTTTTAACTATTCAGAAGAGCCCGTCCTTGCACAGTCAAAAAAGTAACTAAGTAACTTTTACTCTGACTACATTTGAAATAAGCTACTTTTTACTTTTACTTGAGTACATTTTGAGGCAGGTAATTTTACTTGTAATTGAGTAAAATTTCATGAAAGTAATTATACTTGTACTTAAGTACAACATTTTAGTACTCTTTCCCCCTCTGTCTGCTTTGATGTATTCAATCTGCACCACTTTACGTCCAGTTGGGATTGATAACTCTTTTGTGTTAGGATACCTCACCCCACAGTTCCCATAGCCCCTCTCTTTCATACATAATACTCCACATCCCTCCCTCCAACCCTGCTTGCCTCTTTAAAAGCTCGGATCCATTTTAGCGGACAGACTGAGAACGTATCAGAATGGTGAAAGGCCGACGAAATACCTCTAAGAAAATGGTGAAGCAAGAGGAGATGGATGAAGTGTCTACAACGGATGCTACAACCTGTACCCGAGAGGAGGAGGAGGTGAAAGAGGAGAGCGTGGACACGCTGTCACCGCTATCACAGACCTTGCTCTGGGAAAAATCCGTAGCAATCCATCAGCTGCCTGCAGGGGGTGGTGCTCCCTGCAAATCTACATTCTACATGTGTAGAGTTCAGCTTCCTCCTAATCCATGATGTGGCTGAGGACGAACCTCAAGCCATATTTATCACTTTCAGCGGTTCTCTCCTACAACGACTGGGCAGTGCTCAACCTCGCAATTCCACACAGGGTGTTCAAAGATGATCGTGAGAGACCTCGTCCGGCTGTAAAACGCATCAGGCCATCGCTGGATGAAATCCAGAACGCCGTGATAGCTTTCAGCGCTTCATGGGAGGGGCTGGAGGATGTGGATGGGCAGTGGATTTTCAAGGCCTCGGTCCGGTAGAGAGGATCAGAGCTCTTTTTTGTGCTGGAAAATGTGCATGCTGAATGTGGTATTTACCGCCTTTTACAGGTTGTACCTTTCGAGGGCTGGTGTGAGAAAATAGATGAAGTGGGGGATCGTATCACTTCACTTTTTCGTACCAGCTGCTGCTGGAAAGACATTCTGACAGTGCGAAAAAAGCTGGAATTCTAAGCCCCGCCTCAGGAGGAGGAGAAGGAGCAGCGGTTGCATCATCAAACCACGCCCCCACCCAGCACTAGTTATTAGGGATGAGCCGGATACTCGTTTCAGACAAGCGTGTACACACCAAGCCCCCACAATGCCGCTCTAAAAATGGTCCCACCCCGGAAGTAAGAGAAATTGCAGTTCCACCCTCATCCACTAGGGGCTGGTGTCAGAAGCGAGCAAATCCTCATTGACTCCCATGTTTAAAAAT